GGATTAGTTGAAGTTTGACATTAACACCGTTGGATACCGGCTCAGTGGTCTAGTTGGTTAAGCGCCTGGCGCGAGACTGATAGGTCTGGTTTCGAATCCCGCGAGGCGGGGTCATGGATGTGTACTGCCGAGGAGTCCCACAATAGGACGAAACGACCATACAGTGCTTCCAGGTTTTCCATGGTGGTCTAGCTTCAATTGACTCATGATCTCAACTGTTGAAATTACTACAATCTCCACAAAACTCCTTCTGATATACGAAATTATTAAACTAATCAAGGCAATTTATGAGTCAATGATAACAGTGGAATAGATTATATAATAAATGAAAAGTACAAACTGGTAATGTGATGACATGTACTAGTTGTGATAAGAATAATAAAGGCTTGAATCAATGTTACATAATGGGAAATAGGTCAATGATTAGAAAAATATAGACACTGAAATATCATTCATAAAAATTATAGGATTACGTGATAAGAAGTGTTCAGATAATTGAACCGTGAGACGTATATTTGAAAAAAAAAAGAAATGGGGGGGGGAGTAAAGAAAAATAAACGAAGAGTATGGAAAATAATGTTAAATAAAATCATTTATTAAGGCTAAGGGAGAGATAAAGGTGTTACAAATTTCTTAGCAATACAAAGACTTGGATTGTTGGCTCGAATTCCCATAGCTCCTGCTATACGTAAGAGTCAAGATCGAACCCCATAAGAAAAACCAGTAGGAATACGATAAATAACTTATTTCTGTCTATTACGTGACCGCTATCGATCAAGTGTGATAGAACCAAGCTGAGTATTATCTTGACAGTACCTTTTCCCAACCACGAAGAGAGGTATTCACTAACTGTTTGCCTCAGTTGTCTGGTAGTGCTCTCAATATAGGTTTCTCCACAGAAGCAGCTGAATTCGTAGATACACATAGAAGTGGCATAACCAGATAACTTATCCTTTGGTTGAGGAATCATCATAGATCGGGTCGAGTACGATAGACAGAGGCTGGCTTCATTAAACGTTCTCTTCACTGCTCTAGTCAGTCTATCACGAAGCACATCACCAGTTACATATCCATTGAATTGCAGCTTCAGGAAGAGAGGGTTCTTACTAGCCGTTGATGTCGCTATTTTTCTGTTTGTTGCATGCCTTGGTTGGTTTAATAATTTCATATATGCATATACATATTACTGTACGTTAGAGTAAAGCCTAATGAGGATCTAATCGAAAACAATATTGTTCGCTTATATATGTTGTTCTAAATCAAAATATGGGCGTTTTTCAAATTTTAAGTATTGACTAATAGTTTTGAATTTTACTCTACTAAAATTCAATTTGATCTACTGGATAATATTACTGAATGCCACATAGAAGTTTTTCTCAGAGCTGATGAAACAAGGACAGGATTTAGATACCGAGTTAAATCAATCTAATTGTTTTTAACACATTCATGTTAAAAGATTTTGTTGGATTAGTTCACATTTTATAGGTGACATCAGCTAAGGCATAGGATAGCTCTTTTGTCATATTATGAGACTCATCATTAATGAGTCCCCATGACTTTATCAGAGACCAAATCCATGACCTTCATTCCTCGTAGGAGCACTTTACTTTCAGATCATTGGAATGGAACTCAATGGTTCACGTTTTCAGCTGGAATATTTTTTTTCGTTTTGAAAACCCATTCAATAAAATTTATGGGGTGGCTTGTGAATGAATTAATGAATCTCAATCAATTTTTTTTAAATATGCAGAAATTATTTATATATTCAATGATTGTTTTGTTTAGAATGTATTTGAGTAATGTTTTCTTGATAATTGCGATAACTTACATTCAAAGATCGACTATATTAATAATTGTGTAGATCAGTCAATTCTGTAAATTGTAGTATCAAGTTTTTTGGTTATTTATGTATGCCATGATATATCATTGGTAGAAGTAATTGATGACAAAGTCCAAGGAAGAACCATAGAATATGCTGGCTTTAATTAATAGTAAACAACATTTTGAACTGTTAAGGAGACTAGCTCAAAATGAAATACTGGTCAGATGGACTATCGATGTGATGTACACTAGTCAATAACCGAATTTACATCAGTTAATGATAATCGGTCTACACTTGATTCATCATTATTTTGATCACTGTCTACATTATATGACTGTGATGAAAAATGACCAAATTTTGAAAAATCTAAACAGCTTTAAATCAATAAGTCATACATGGGATATCAGTGAAAAATAGGTAGTTGAATCTAAAAGAATGTATTCAATAGAAGTTAGGGGTGGTGATTAGTATTATTATTATTATTATTATTATTATTATATTACAAATCAATTTGAACTTCACTCGAGTACAGAATTCAATCTGTACTTTACAATTTGAACAGAATATTTTACTATCGCTATCATTATTATTATTATTATTATTATTATTATCCTGTTAGACCCTAACTTATCTGCCAGCACTAAAAGAAGGCGGATTTCAGGCTCACTTCAACGAATATATATATATATATATATATATATATATATATATATATATATATATATGGAGAGAGAGAAGGAGGGAGGGAGGGAGGTCAAGAGGGAAGGAAAGAGGGAGATAGTGAAGTAAATGCTTAATTAGGACTATTAATCTTTTCATGATAAAACTGTGATAGCCCAAATATAGCAGAGAGACAGAGCGAGAATGTTTAGATATATTCACAAATTAGTAAAGACATATGTGTTCTTTGTTTTTGTGTGCAAAATGTCTTTATATTTTTTAGCTTTATTCAATCTTTGTCTGAATAATGTACATTATCTAGATTTTACTTGTATATACATTCGTTTACTGTCTATCATGTCTACAACCTCTTTAGTGGAAGTATGTATATACATATATTTGCACAAAGTTCTAATAATTTCGTTTAATAAATAAGGCAGATGTGAGAAATACTTGCGTGAATAGATTTAGATATCTGTCATACAACTCAGCTTGATTTTACTCAGCCTAAACCAATTTGTAGAATGCAGTTTAGACTGAGTTTGCTTAACACAGGTTGCATATATATATAGTTTATTCTGGTTAGCGTATTTTAACAATGTTGTTTTCTGCGGAATGTGGTTGTTTAGCCAATGGCCGACTCTCCTCTTTTAGCCTAACTTGGGACCGACAGTAGCCCTACAGGCACGGAATACAACTAGACGATTTGGACTTCAAAGATAATCTAGCTCCTCCATCTCATACACACCAACAAATATCACTGAAGTTAGTCAGTGTAGCAGAAGCCTCTGCATCGGTAGACCTCAACATACACAAAGGAAAAAGCAACATCCTCAAATACAACACGGAAAACACCATCCCAACCACATTCGATGGAGAAGCTCTGCAAGATGTGCAATCTTTCGCGCACCTCGACAACATCATCCATGAACAAGGAGGATCCAACGCAGACGTAAATGTGAGGATTGGCAAGGTAAGGACAGCACTCCTACAGTTGAAGAACATATGAAATTTAAAACTACCGTCAACCAACATCAAAGTGAGAATCTTCAATGAGAATGTCAAGACAGTTCTACTGTACGTACGGAGATGAAACTTGCAGGACTACCACAACTATAATTAAAACAGTACAAGTATTATAAACAATTGTCTATGTAAGATACTCAACGTCCGTTGGCCGATTACAATTAGCGACAGCCTACTGTGGTGGAGAAAAACCAAGTTGGATCAGAATTGTAAATTAGGAAGAGATGCTGTAAGTGGATGGGACATACTCTTCGGAAATCACCAAAGTGCATCACGAGGCAAGCGCAAGATCGAAGAACACAATGCTTGAGATATGTTTTACTTTGATCGATAAATTCCCATATATTTAATTTATCCTACTTGAATCTGTGAGATGATGTCGACGAAGGATACTTTAAAAATATGTAGTTTTAATCTTCTAGATTATTTGTGAACTGTATGAAAGAACCTTGTTTATACGCGAAACCAACTCGTAATGAACTGAAATTTTGCATCCTGATGGCTAATACATTATATCCTTGAAGAGAAAATTGATCACGACATGAAAGTTAAACAGCATCAGTCATGGAGAAGATATGCAACTCAGGCGGATGGTTTGCTTAAAGCTATGTTCCTCGGGCTAGATGGTTATTTTGTGAAAATTGCATTATCGTTCTGGATAGTATCATCAGAGCCTACTTCATTTAGAGGTGAGCTTTTCAATCGTTCTTCAAATGTTAAATCTGTTTGTTCTAATGGCGTTATTTATGATTTGTAATTTTTGTGTTTTAATGTGTTGATTTGTTTTTTCACTTCTGTCGTCTATTCTTTTCATGTGACTTCTAACCGTGTGAATAATCGGATTTCTCAGTGTGTTGACTGCCTTCCCCAGTTGATCTAAAGGCTCTGGGTTCAATTTCCGGAGTTATATATGCAAACACTTGAATAGTCGAATAGTAGGTTAAAAAGTTATCGTATTCTTCCTAGTTTTCAACAGCAATTTAACCAAGTTCGTTCTATGATATGAAAATTCAAATTCAGTAATCAGTTATACAGTCAGAGGTTAAACGAAAAAAAAAGTCAATAAAAATGCAAAATAGAAAGACCCAGATAAACTATTAATCATAATCAGTGTCATTAGAACGAACTGATGGAACACTTGTAGAATAACTGGAAAACTCACCTCAATATTATGTAATCAATGATGATATTGTTAAAAACAATAAAAAAAAGAGCTCCACAAATAAATAATCTTATTCAAAGAAAATTACATCACTAGAAATAAAATAATCAATTTTCTGTTGATCAACATAATTATATACTTATTTTATGTCAAATAATGATTTCTCATAGATGATTTCGTCATATAATATAATTTGAGCAGTATATCGCTCAACTTTCTTTATCGATCGACCAAAAAAAAAACAATAATAATAATGTTCCTAATCTATATGAGCACTCTGAATGTAAGAAAAAAATTGTATATTTATATCAAACATGTAATAATTAAAGCACAGAATACAAAACATCATTGAATCTGTATATTTGATTACATTTATTCAAGTAGAATAAATTAGATCTCTCTTTCTTTCTTTCTTTTTCTTCATGAACTTATTGAATGTGAATAATATTCATTGAGAATTACTTACATTATCCATTGTAATTCATTATTACATTAAATTAAAATCAATATTATTATGAAACATATTAAACATTTATTACAATTTCTATGGTTTATTATTATTATAACATTCTATATAACAATAATACATGTGAAATGTCTTATTCCAAAATTATGTGTTCATAATATCACAGCAATTGGTGGAAGTGGTATTTGTTGTCCAATACCTAAAAATTCTAAATATCCATGTGGTGGTCCAGGTCAAGGTACATGTCAAAAAGAATATACACAAATTGAACGTATACCATTTTATTTAATTATGGATGATAGAATGAATTGGCCATCAAGATTTTTTAATCATTTTTGTAAATGTGAAGGTCATTATTTTGGTATAGCATGTAATGAATGTTGGTATGGTTGGGAAGGTAAATTTTGTAATAAACGTAAAAAATATATTCGACGTAATATATTATCATTTTCTCCAAAGAAAAGAAAAATGTTTGTTCATGTTGTAACAAAAATGCTTACTACTCCAACTGATTATTTAATATTATTTGAAAAAGATGCTATACATTCTGATCCATTATGGAAACCTAAATTTTTAGATGTAGATGTACAGTATTTATTATCTTTTCTACATCGTTACGCGAGCAGAGCTACATTATTTCATGATGCTAAAGATTGTATACTACGTCAACATTTGGATAATAATCATGAAGTAGTTGGATTTTTAACTTGGCATAGATACTATATGTTATTCTGGGAAAAACTTCTACGTAAAATTGCAATTCAACTATATGGTTGGTCAGATTTCACATTACCTTATTGGGATTGGGTCGATTCTAAAAGTTGTGATGTTTGTGTTAATAGTTTACTAGGTGGTTATGGACAGTGGGTTGGAGATACTCGTTTAATAGACCGTAGAAGTCCATTTTACATGTGGCCTGAATACTGTTCTCCTCCAACTACGGGAAGTAACTGTTATAGTTGTCATGCTGGTTGGCCAAACTTTCAAGTATTGACAAGATATTTCGAAAGTTCAGCATTTCCAACAACTGATAACCTTTTGTTCACTCTTTCAAAGGATACGTAAGTTCTTTTTTATCATTCTGGTTTTATAAACATTGTATCACAATCAAGACATGATATTGTAAATGATACAATGGCAAATATATTTCAGTATTTGTAGAATTATAAAATATATTTCCTGTGAAATATTTATTTATATTATTTTAACATTGGTTTAACCAATTCCATGTATAGTTATGAGTGAAGAATAAATTTGCTCATGAACTTACATTCACGCCTTTAATAAGTTAATTTAGAGTAGATTTATCCCTTTTCATACACGACCTGACTTTTCAGGATATATTGATATTTTATACTTAATCAGATCTCCAATTTCAGTATAATCACTCATCTCACTATGGATTTTGTAATATCTTTGCTCTTAGATCTTAAAAAATGAAGTTGCTCAGCTATTATAAATAATTTTAAGCAGTGGATATTTTCGATACTGTTTATGTAAATACCTGGCGAGTAACTCTAAACAAAACTGAGCCTAATTTCCAATATGCATTAATTCTTATTGGTTATGTTGAGGATCTTGGTTTAATGAATCAAATAATGAAATAAAATTACTAACAAATAAACACAAAAAAGGTTCGATTCCATAAAATATGGATAAGAGGAGAGTCGTTGAAACAAGAATTAAAAACAATACTTTGACGAGTTCCAATTACATAAACTTGTAATAATGTTGATTGCTAGAAATCATACTTAAATAGATTTAATAAATGATGTTTATAAGCTAATGTGTTACTAAGATCTAAACAGATATACCGAGGTTCCCAAGGTACCATAGAATGGTAGAAAAATGTGTATGTTAACGCGCTAAAATTACTAATAGAGTATCAGATAAATTCACATCATATGTACTCTTACGGTACACAAAGTTTCCAGAAATGTTACACTTGCTTAGTTCAATTTAGTTAATGTTAATTAAGTTCAAAAGTTACTTTACTGCATACATTTTAAAATAACTAGAATCTGCTTCTTGTCGAACCTTAGCATTTTATTTATCGAATTCTTATATTTATAATAATTACAAACATTACCAGAACGAGGGGTTGTAGAGATTATAGTAGTTTTAATAGTTGAGTTCATGAGTCCAATGAAGCCAGATCACCGGTGGAAACATAGAAGCATTGGACGGCCGTTTCGTCCTAGTATGGGACTCCTCAATAGTGCATCCACGATCCTGTATGTGGGATTCGAACCCAGGCCTTCCGGTCTCGCACGTGAACGTTTAACCTCTAGACTACTGAACCGGCATCCAACGGTGGATACGCACTTTTGAGGAGTCCCCTACTGCGACGAAACGGCCGTCCAGTGCTTCCAGGTTTTCAATTGTGGCCTAGCTTAAATCGACTCATGAGTTCAACTATTAAAAATAATTACAAATATATTTGTTAGCATAATTTATTTAGTAAATTAATTCTAGAAAGTTTTTTTCTAAATCTCGGGGGATCTAGTTGTAATTTTGATGTTTAGAAATATGTCTTTTGAGTAATCTGTTATATTTTAATAACTCGGATTTTTACTCTAATGAATTAATTAAGTAATTCGAAGGAGAATTAAGTAATGAGTAATGACTACAAATGTGAAAAAAAAGTTTACTAGAAAGTGAACAGTTTAAACTTATGTCACTTGTATCACACAAAGGTCTGGTGGAAGAAGAATTATGAATAATTGTAAGCCAAGCTTTCTTTTAAATACTTTATAGTTCCCTATTTATTTTATAACAGAAAAAAATATATTTATCTGTTGATAGGTTTTATTTGCCTCAAAAGATGGAGGATATTGGTAAATGTCGTGGTTTTCATCAAGTTCTCGAAGGATTTTGTTCTTTTACCGGTGACAATTCAACTTACTCATTTATGCATAATAAAGTACATAATATAGTGCGTGGTACATTTTGTTGTGCAGCAACTTCACCTAATGATCCTATATTCTTAGTACATCATACACAAATAGATAGAATTTTCCAAGTAGGTTATAAGCATTAAATTATCATATATATTCTGAACATTTTATTCTTTAACTAATTATTATTAGCTTTTCTTTTATCTATGTACAATCTACTAGTAAACCGTGAATGACTTCAAATGATATATTACAAGTTACAGTAAACTTTATTCTTCAAAACAACCAGTGAAGATATTCATACTCAAATAAATTATTAAGTTATTCGGATGAAATTGATCAGCTTGAAATGATATTTTAAGAATATTTTAATCTTTAAAGAATTTTAGTTAAACATGAACTAAATTTTGAATCATATCTTGTATAGTTTTTCAAAGTATTTATTCTGAACATTTGTACAAGTTGAACACAAGGTGAACTCTGTTGACAACCACTGGAGTAAATTGGTCCAGTTAACTGGTACATAATTTCAATCATAAATGAAAGCTAATCATGATTTCCCAATTATCTTGTAAAAACGATGAGCAGATATTTTCTACAAAACGAAAAAACCGATGATGCCCATGAAGTGTAACTTTACTTCATCACATAGATGATAAAAACAGATATTGGATTTATGTATATTGAGTCAAATTGAAAATAACACAATAATACAAAGACAATATTAGATCACAGTAGTCCTATATCGTGAACTGATTGAAGATAGACATGTAAACTACTTGATTCTGACTCAGTGCTCCAAATGTTTTCATACTGACAGCGATATCAAGGAGTTCGTGAGTCCTCATTACTGAGGGTTAGGTAACTAAGATGTGATACAATTGTTCTATGATCTTTGATTTTTAATGATTCTCCATGCATTGTCAGTCACCGTTAAAAATAATCCGTATATTTCATACTCATCAATTTACTTTTAAATGATTAAGCTTCTTTAGTAGTCTAAACTCGAAACACTTTATTATATGCAAAATGATTTCATATCCAGATATATGAAATTATGTAAGACAAATTCCATTTCCAATAAGTCACTGGACTTTGTAATACAATGCCTTATAATTTAGTTTGCTGTTTTCCTGTACTTATTGTTATTATTGTTATTTTGTATAATAGTTATGGTTTATGTATAATCGTCCACGTCCAACGGAGTATCCAAATCATGGAGTTGCACTTGGAAATTGTCGTGAATGTAATATGGTTGGTTTCATTCCTACAATTAAACACGTATTAATGTTTGTAAATACAGAACTGATAGGTTATACCTATGATAATTTTAATTTCGGTAGACGTGGCTTTAGTGGAGAAAAATACTTGAAATGTGGTCCTAAATATCGTGTCTAATTTGTTATTTACTTCAGATCATAAAAATTTAAAGCATAAAAACTGAAATTGAATACTTTTAATCAACTTTAAATGAACAAATACTATTCCAAAAATACCTGCTGTGGTTTTCTATCAAATCAATCAGATTAGTACTGAAAGAAATTGAAAATAAAGCGTAAATAATTATTTGGTTTTGCTCAGTTTGTAAAGTTTTCATTTTGATAACACTTATGAAAACAACATTGGAGATTTTAAATATATATACAATTTTCCCGGAGTTCTGACCATTGCAGATTCATCATGTTGGGAGTGAAACAAACAACATCTATGGTAGGCGATGATAATCACACAGTTTCGTTGATTGATTGATGTTAGAAATGTAAATCATTCAATTCAAACTCAGTAATATATAGATGAAATGTTAACTGAGAGGCCTGAAGTTTCTCGGTTCTATTGGTGGTAAGTTCGTAGATGTACACTACGGGAAAGCCACATACTAGGCCAAAATAGGTGTTCACTACCTTCTAGCTTTCCTTGGCTATTTAACGAAAGTCAGTTCATGTAATAAAACTAGAAAACTGAAAATTATTATACACCAGAAAATGGTCGTCCACTTCATTTTCAAATTGATTCACTCGAAAAAATGGAAAGTTAAAAAAACATTCACTGTCACCTAAGATATTAAAAATATATTGTATTCTATTCTCAAATAGAATCCTGATTTCAATGCATCATGTAAAAACGTTGTAAACAGTTCGTCTTTTTAGATGCTCCATTAAATCTTATTTAAGATAATTCGACATAATTTAAATATCATCATAGTGATAAAAAAGAACAACTGTAGTTTCCTTCTGTTTTAATGCATGACTTCATCAATCTCAGCAAATTCGAAGATTAAAGTGACCAAGGGGTATAGTGATTTAATATTTCAATGAATGTAATAATATACGAAATAAATGGTGTATCATCATCATATAAACGATTATTTAGTGCACAATCAAATAACTGATCATGTTAAATGATAGAGGGACACTGATGAAACTTACCAAAAGTATATAAAGATTAATAATATCAAGAACATTTGGTCAACTCAAATTATATTTACATATATTACTAACTTTAACCATAAACAAATGAATAAAAGTTAGACAACTAAATTATATTCAGTCGCAAATAAATTACCCCTATGAAATTTCTTTTCTTTAATAGTCCATTTACTTAAATCATTCAATTAGTTGAGAATTTCTAGTGTCAAACAATTTTTATGTTCCATTACAAACAAGGATTTATTAGAAAGTGATTCATTTTCATGAATTGGAATACTTGACTTCAGGATTTACGACATCTAAAATTCACGTTCATATTGAGTAAAGCATAAAACTACAAAACAGTCAAGATGAGTTAGCTTATGAGATAACAGAGGAGAATAATAGGTGCATTTGTTTGTGTTGTTCTATCTGTGATACATAGTTTAGTTTTGAAACTTTCACATTCATTCTGAACAACATCAGAACCTACTTCACGTTGAAATAGGTAGTTTTAAGTTATGGCTAGTAAATACATTTAAATTTTTTTAGTGGGAACTTCAGTAGACAGGGTATGATAATTAGGAGTATTTGAATCATAACATGAACTAAGAATTCCAGAAATAACGTAATCGGATCAAGAAGTACTAAATAACCACAAACGAATGTACTGTATTTGGAATTCGAAATCAAGCATTCAACAAGTACAAAGAAATCATTGGTTCATTCAAACACCACACAGAGCTTTTTATTATTTCTTGACTACGAAATTAGAATTAGTACTATTTTGATTAGAGACAATAAAAAATAAGCTTAAGCTGTAGGGTTCTTAATAGTCATCTTCATACACTACAACTCAATAAGAAATAAAACCACTTTTCATTTTGATCTATTGAAGAAAGGAAAATACTTCTTACCAATAGCAAAAGTGTTTAATTAAAACTCTTTAGATAAGTCTATTCGAATCCTTCTAGATTCTATTTTATAAAATATCACTTATGTACCCTACAAGTAAATCTAATTTGAGCGTTTGCACTGGAAAAAATATCATAGTCTTTATTCTAAAAACCAAATGGCCAATTCATTTTTATAGTATACTGACTTGTTCTTTTTTCTGGCAAGATGACCTAAGTAATAAAAAAACGGATTGATTGTAAGTTCAATGAAATGTAATTACTTATTTATTGATTTTTTTAAAAGGTTAATCGATAAGACATTTAGAACGCTAATAATATTGTATATTCAAAGATCTGTAAACAATTTGTGATTGATTTTACTCATTTTGAAACTGAACAGAAATGTCCTTTTCAGATCTGATTTCGCACACGTTAATGCTTACATTGCTAAGACTTTTGATATGACCATTTGGAACTTTGACCAAAATTTCAGTTTTTGAAAGTGTCACATATTTCGTCCTGAAGTATATTTAAGTTAATAGACAGTAAAAGACGGCGGAAATGTTTTCGATATGTTATGAAACCACTGAAAACAGATAACTTACTTAACAGTAGCCATTTATAGCCTAAAAGCATTTATATTTAACACAGAAACATTATCCTGATACCCCAAAAAACATGATACACTGTTCAGACTAAGGATAAGTAACAGTCATAGGGGACTACAGTATCTCCTATTGGGAACATCGAATAATTTACTACGTTTTTCATATCTCAACCAGTACTACCTCCCAAAGTAGACAGACAGTAGGCGTTTGTGTAACACATTCTAATATGTTATTTTCCTGAAATTTCATGAATCTATTCCATGGTTGATCTTTCATCAACTGATTCTATTTATTTGATTTCAATAATAAATATAAACCATTTTACTTAGATATGATTTATAATTTCAAAGCCTATTTGATAAATAAAAAGTTATTTTCATGTCAAACATTACTATCTTTCAAAAACAGAAAATAGATTCGTATTATGTATATAACTAAAGTTGGAGTATATATTTCTATGATGTCAAAGTTACAACATCAAATGAGATCTAATCTTTCACTTTACTAATGATCTATCAGTAAACTTAAATATATTTTCTCAGGTTCATGATACATTCCACAGTTGTGGACATTCTCTACACACGAAACATAATTTCGTGTTCTGAACTGTAAAATACATGCTAAACAATTACTTAGATCACTTAGAGTGGAAAGTAAATACTCATTTATAACGTTCATAGTAAATTACTCTGTTGAAATTTTAATTGTAGTACTGACTTTAATCATAGGCTCAAACCTCTAAAAGGAGTCTTCAAGGTCAAACCTTACGAGTGTAATATAATACGACCGAGATCACTGATTAGCATAAAACCAAATACATCCTTTCTGGCAATTAGTATAGATTAAGGATATCATCAACAAATGACACCTTACCGATACGCTTCATTTAACATTGAAAGAATAAAGAGGTATTTGGTAAATTATAGAGTTAAATAAGGTCTTTGAAAGTACTTTGATCACAAAAAGCATCAGTCATTCTCATAATGATGATTTCATTTCACTAAAAATTGATTTAAAACTAACCTGACTGAATGGAAAATAGTTTCGCCTCAGCAACTTGAAGTTTTATTTGGCTTAATCTGAGAGAACAATACACAATGTTAGGAACTAAAGGATCTGGGATTTTCGTATCACTTTTAAGTTGAAGGATTAAGTTATGAAACTCCTTCAAAATGTTTACATTAATATAAAGTTTTTACGACTGATATATCAAATAAATTTTAAAAATTGCAAGAAAGTTACTGGCGTAAGTTCTCTCTTTAAACCTTAATTCAAATTCACTGAACTTAGTTGTTCATTTTGGATAGTATTTTTTCACACTAGCGTGATTCACATTCTGTTTTCAAACTCCAGTTGAATGATGTATTTGAAACAAACTTAATCTATTCTTATTGGGGTTTCGCCTATCTAGTATGCTTCTTTCAAATGGTAAAGATGTATGTGAGTCATTCTCATATATGATAATTTTGCTCTATTTATTTTGATAATACTTCTAAAGCCGAATGCATTTGAAAAACGTATATGTTTTAGGATTTCGGGATAAAAGGTGTTACTGATAGCATGAAGATGTTCACTATCATTTATCTACTGACTAAACCAACATCTGTATATAAATTTCATCCGAAGTGTAGGTAAATAATTTTTCTCGTCAGTGTTTATTTGTAATATACAAGAAATCAAAAAGTGATTATTATTAGACGGGACATGAGTTGTCATAATTTATTAAGTCTAGTTGCCATTTTATTTTTATATATAAATGTTCTTAACAAGTATATATATGATCAGAATGTTCGAAATGTATTGCGCTAATACATCACATCGTTCTGATAATCTTCGTCTTATTTCATTATCGAAATTAAAATACAAATGACTACATAATGGTTTTAAATAAAATTATTTATACATCAACTGATTAGTTACCGAAACTTTAAGCGTATTTATTGAGACTTAGAGTGTTTGTTGCGTTCCCTCAATTCAATGCTTTTCAAACTGAAGTCAGTAAGTTTGATGCTAATCAATATTAGTACTCTGTATTTCCAATCCTTTAATAATAAAATAATCGTTCTCTATTGAAATTATCATAATGAAGTCAATGTAGAATTGAGGAATTACGGGTTCGTTTAAACAATTTCATCCAGGAACACCTCTGCAAGAATAAAAGAATTGTTTAATCAGACATTTTAAAACTTAGAAGAGAGAGAGTTTTTTAATACAGACTGACATCAAGTTGATGATTAATGACTAGTGAATATATATATATATATATATATATATTCCTTCACCATCGCTTTTTGTCAAAACATTAATGGATGTCGATACTTACATGATGATCTCTCAAACGAACACATTGGTGTTATCGAATGAATGATAAACCAATCGACGCGAAATTGCTATCTGCACAGTTTATTTGAAGTAGTTGCTCATCTTTCACATTATCATTATCACTGTGAAAATTTATCAAAACAAAAATATCAAGAAAATTATATTTAAAATTCCCACGTCCAGTTTCTTCCTTTCTTTTAATCATTGGAGGGGTCCAACTGAAAATTATAGTTTGTAAGCCGTTATGCATAAAATAT